CAAGAACTCATCAGCAACACTTATGGCTTCCTCTAGCAACGCCGGACACTGGAACACCAATGAGGAACAACCCTAGTTACCCACCGTTTGCTTCGGGCAGTTCACCGTCCCCCTCTCTGTGGATGGGGTTCCAAGTCTGAATGTGCCTCAGACGGTAGCATCCATGACTGTTCCACTGCCTTCTGCAGTCGGAACAACCTTCGCTGAACCCACCATCCTCCCTCCGGTGGCCAGCCAAGGTCAGCTTGAGGATTTGATGCTGTGCATGCGAGCCATGCAGGCTCAAATGCAACAGTTCCAGCAACTCCAGTTCTACCGGCAGCAAGTGTTGCACCAAGTTTCCCAACATCAGTATCAGCAACAGTTTCCTTCACTCCCTCCTCGGCAGGGAGAGACTTCAACATCATCTCATGGAAGGAAGGGAAGACTCCCTACCCCCGCCTCGCGGCCTGCAGTTAGGTCAGGGGCTTCCCAGCCGGTTAGGCCGGCATCACCTCAGCATCCGCAATTCGAGCCTCTGCTTGCGGAGAACAAGTTCGAAGTGCTAGCCGACAACCTGGAACAAGGTCCTTCTGTCCGCAGCTACCGATAGTCGTCCCTGCCTCCCCCTGGGCCCATCGTGCTCAGCAATACTGAGGCCAACAACACCAACGCCGAGCTAGCCAAGAAGCAGCGGAGACGCCGCCGGGCTCGCCGAACTGCCACCACCCACAATCTGCCCAAGCTCAAGGGCAAAATAGAAATAAGTTCGGGAGAGGTAAGAGCTGCACCACTTCTCTTAGTCCCCTCTCCTCTGTCTTCGGAGCTCCTCGCTGTCCCCATGCCTAGGGACTTCAAGCTCCCCCCGTTGGACAAGTACGACGGGTCCTTCAACCCTAACGACCACGTTGACGCCTTCCAGTCCCATATGCATCTGGCCGGGGCGAGTGAATCTTGCATGTGCGTGGCCTTCTCCACTACATTCAAGGGAGTAGCCCGCACTTGGTACCAAAACCTCGCACTGGGTTCAATAGGGAGCTAAGTGCAGTTCGTACAGGTCTTCACCTCCCACTTTGTCACCAGTAAGAGGTGCCTGAAGACTCAGAAAAGCCTCCTCAGCATAGTCCAGAGGGATGGGGAGTCTATCTGGAACTACATCAAACGGTTCAATGACGCTTTCCTACAGATACTTGACCTGGACCCTGCAGTTCGGCTCACTACAGCCAAACGGGGCATCACCCACAAAGAGTTTAAATGGCACGTGGTCATCAACCAACCCAAGACCATGACCGAGTTCCTCGAGCTTGCAGATCAGTTCATAGGAACAGAGGAGGAGATCAACCAGAAGGGCGAGCACGTCCTCGAAAAAAGAAAAAGGGAACCGGAACCCATGGCTCCAAGTGACTACAGGAAGAAGGACCAAGCTTGGGGGGCAAAGCCAGTCCAGCCTTTCCGAGCTCCAGCAACAGAAAGGGTGTTTACACACCTCAACATAAAACGGGCCGAGATCCTCATGGCAATCAAGGACGCCCCGTATGTAAAATGGCCACCTCGGCTCAAGGCCGATCCTAATGTTAGGAACAAAAACTTGTATTGTAGTTTCCATAGAGATCACGGTCATAGTACCGAAGATTGTAAGAATCTTCGCGATGAGATAGAANAAGTGTTGCACCAAGTTTCCCAACATCAGTATCAGCAACAGTTTCCTTCACTCCCTCCTCGGCATCCAGCTGCGCAGCCGACCAAGCCTCACCGCCGGAGTGAACTTCCTTCCCGCCGAGGAGAGACCTCGGTATCATCCCATGGAAGGAAGGAAAGACCCCCTACCCCCGCCTCGCGGCCTGCAGTTAGGTCGGGGGCCTCCCAGCCAGTTAGGTCGGTGTCACCTCAGCGCTCGCAGTTTGAACCTCCGCTTACTAAAAACTAGTTCGAAGTGCTGGCCGACGACCTGGAACAAGGTCCCTCTGTTCGCAGCTACCGACAGTCGTCCAAGCTTTTCCCCGTGCCCATCGAGCTCAGTAATACCAAGGCTAGCAGCACCAATGCCGAGCCGGGCTAAGAAGTAGCGAAGCGTCGCCGAGCTCGCCGAATTGCCACACGCAACCTGCCCGAGCTCAGAGGCAAGGTAGAGGTAAAAGCTACACCGCTTCTTTCAATTCCCTCCCCCCTGTCACCAGAGCTCCTTGTTGTCCCTATGCCGAGGGACTTCAAGCTCCCCCCGTTGGACAAGCACGATGGGTCCTTCGATCCCAACGACCACGTGGACGCCATTCAGTCCCAGATGCATCTAGCCAGAGCGAGCGAGTCTTGCATGTGCATGGCCTTCTCCACTACTTTCAAGGGAGTAGCCCGCACTTGGTACCGAAACCTCGTGCCAGGTTCAATAGGGAGCTGGGCACAGTTTGTGCAGTTCTTCACCTCCCACTTCATCACCAGTAAAAGGTGCCCGAGGACCCAAGAAAGCCTCCTCAGCATAGTCCAGAGGGAAGGAGAGTCCATCCGGAACTACATCAAGCGGTTTAATGACACTTGTCTGCAGATACCCGACCTAGACCTTGTAGTTCGGCTCACTGCGGCCAAGCGGGGCATTACCCACAAGGAGTTCATATGGCACGTGGTGGTCAACCAACCCAAGACCGTGACCGAGTTCCTCGAATTGGCAGATCGGTTCATAGGGACAGGGGAGGAGATAAACCAGAATGGCAAGCAGGCCCTTGAAAAAAGAAAAAGGGAACTAGAGCCCCCAGCTCCAAGTGACAGCAAGAAGAAGAAGAACCAAGCTCGGGCACAAAGCCAATTCAGCCTTTCTGAGCTCCGGCAACAGAAAGGGATTATACACCCCTCAACACAAAGCGGGCCGAGATTCTCATGGCGATCAAGGACGCCCCATATGTGAAGTGGCCACCTCGGCTTAAGGCCGATCCCAATATTAGGAATAAAAACTTGTATTGTAGTTTCCATAGATATCACGGTCATAGTACCGAAAACTGTAAGAACCTCCGCGACGAGATAGAAGAACTTATCCGTCACGGATATCTGAGAAATTTTGTATAGCATAATAATAATAGTAAAGCAGGTCGGCATGAGAAGCAGAGAAAAGAAGCTCCCGAGTCCAATAGACAAGCAGAATAGTCGCAGAGGCAGCCTCCCGACGAGAGACCAGTCCGGGGGACCATCCATGTAATTGTCGGAGGATCAATTGTCGCGGGCTGCACCTCGGCAGTAGCTCGGTCATCAGCCCGCGAGGCCGCCAGGGAAGAGCTTAACCCCCCAAAGCGGCCAAGGGTGGAAGAACCGATCTTCTTCATTGAAGATGATGCGTGAGCGGTCCATTACCCCCATGATGACGCGCTCGTCATAAAGATTAAGACTAACGACTTTGAGGTCAGGCGCATCCTAGTCGACTCAGTCAGCTCGACAGATATTCTCTTCAAGGCAGCCTTCGATCAGCTTCAGCTCCACCTTCGATCAGCTTCAGCTCCAGGAAGGTGACCTGAAGCCCGCGAACACTCCACTCGTGGGATTCAGCGGTGAAGAGGTCAAACCTTTAGAGAGAATCACTGTACCCGTGGAGGTTGGCACCTGGCCTAGTGTGGTAAGGTTCAGCCATGAGTTCCTGGTGGTCGCGACCCCCTCCCCGTACAACGCAATAGTAGGTCGGCCCATCACCCACGCCTTACGAGCAGTAGTCTCCACCTACCATTTGGCGATGAAGTTCCCTACAGACTTCAGAGTTGGAGTGACGCGAGGTGATCAACTCGAGTCCCGCAAGTGCTACGTAGCCGGCCTCAAAGGAAAGGCCAAGGTAGCAGACGACCTCGAGCTAGAGCGACCCACGGAGCAGTTCGCATAGCGAGCCGCGCCTACTGAAGAGACCATCCCCATCCCGGCTTCGACAGAGGATCCAACTCAGGTACTTCAGATTGGTGTTTCTGTTGAAGAACCCCTACGATCTCAACTGGTAAGTTTCTTACTCGAAAATTTAGATGTTTTTGCATGGTCAACGACAGAAGTGCCCGGCATAGACCCCAACATTATAACTCATAGGCTCAAACTGATCCTGTAATTAGGCTCGTTAGACAAAAGAAATGCAACCTAGCCCCAGAGCGATGGAGGGCAGTTGACGAGGAGGTCGGGAAGCTCCTTGCAGCCGATTTTATCAGGGAGGTTCATTACCCGAGCTGGGTGGCCAACCCCGTTTCGGTGAAAAAGGCCAATGGTAAATGGCGCATGTGCGTTGACTACACCGACCTGAACCGAGCTTGCCCAAAGGACTGCTTCCCACTTCCTAAGATCCGGTGGCAGTGCTCGGATCCCTTGCTAGGCGGCGTTCTGCCTGCCATCTCTGGAAGGCATGGCATGCCTGACGAGTCCGTACCTTGCAGCAGCAACCTGCACCTGCCACCCCTGCCCTGGCAATAATGACTAGGGCAATGGCGGTTATGCCTGATGTGACCGAGCTCTAGTATAAAAGGACCCCGACCCTCACGAAGCAAAGGTATTGAAGCTAGCACTTTCTACACTCTTAACTCTCTATGTCTTCTTTGAATTTTCCTCAGAGTTCTAACTTAGCCATCGGAGTGTTTCCTCCGGGAGAGTTCCCCGAGAACCCTTCACCTTCCTCTTCCTCTCAGGGGCCGTCCGTCACAGTTAGGAGCCAACTCTCAGCCAGCTAGGAGTGCCCAGAGATTGTGATGCATCACATAACATGCTTGCTATCGGAGGTGGTTAGAGATCCGATATTAATTATAGGAAAATTAGATGATATTTGAAAGGTATTTTTATCTTTTTACATGATATTTAACATCCGTTAACAGTTTTGGACTAATTTAACAGTTTTTGAAATTTTGGGTGCTGCAGTGACACGATTTAGAGTTCAGGTACTAACATGACACTACCCCTAAATTATAGGTACTAATCTAGAATTTTCGAAAAACAGTGGTTTATATAATTGTTATAAGAGAAGGTCTTTTTTATAATTTTATTTACCTAAAAAAGGTGTTGTTGGCTCTTTTCTTTCCGAGCCGAGGGGTTTGTAAACCTATACTAATCTGACGTTGGTTCTGCTGGACGGATAGAGAGAGTAGTGAGCAAGCGCGATTTGGAGAGTTGGGGATGGGAATTGGGTTGGGAGCATTGAGGAATGCCATTCTTCATTTGGTGTGAACAGTCCTTGCTCGGCGAACGTTACATTTTCTGGCGATTTCCGGTACGCCTGCTACTCCGATAACTAAGATTCGGTGGGTTTTTGGATCACCTCAGCAGCTGACGCCGGTGATTTTGGAGTTGAGTGCTTTCCATAGCTTGACAGATACTCGATTCCCGAAGAGAAGGCCCAGTGGCAAACCTCGAAGGAAAAGGGCCAGCTTAAGACCACCAGGTTTGTCTCTTAACACATCCACTTTGAATTAAACAAATTGAGAAAATGGACTCATTAGAGAGCATGAACTATGGCAGTTTGATAATTTATTTGGAGATTTTCTTCCACCCTCATCCCTTTTTGAGGAACTTTAGTCTCTACTTGCATGATCAGAAATGGAATTGCTCTAGTATTTAAGTGCCTAAGTTGGATTTCTTTCATGGGGTTGAGTTTTCATTATTTCTTCTGGTAGACAGTTGTTTGTATCAAAACACCAAAGCTTAGGTCTGTATACAGTCCACCCCTCCCAAGGCCTGGGTAAATGGGTAATGACCTTTTTCAGACATATTTTGTGTTCTTATTCGATACGACAAAGCTCTCAATTTTGTTAATCCTGATTTATTTAATCATGCAGACTCATATGCCTGGGTTCAGCATACACCTGGTGAGCCAATATCTGTAAGTAGACCCAACAAAAGGAGTGTGAAGGGAAGGAATTAGAAAAAACGCATGAGGCTGAGGAGGGCGTTTATACTGGTCTGTGTTTCTTTCTCAAAAGCCTACCTAGCTTCTAATCTGATGCGTAGAAACTGATATTTTTTTTTCTTTTTTCTTTTTTTTTTTTGGGGGGGGGGGTTGGTGTTAAGTTTTTCTATGTATGGATTCCAACTCATAATTACAGCATTTAGTTTGAAATTTCCTTTGTTACTTCATTTAACTTCCATCATTTGTTTCCGTGTTCATCCATACTAACGAAGTCTCAATTTGCAAACCTTACTACACACCAATCCTCGATTAGCATTGATTCATTTGTATATATTGCCTTTGAGTCTTCATGCTTATTAGTTCAAGAAATCCTTTGCTTTTAGATGACTATGTGCAGATGTATGATCCATTATTCTTGATAGGGTGTTGATATTTGTAAATTTTGAGGAGGTGCAAGGAAATGAACTTGGGAGAGATATTTAGACATTTAAAAATGTATCCAGGACGATATCTTCTTGTAGGATGTTATGCCTAGACCTTAAAATGTTTTTGTATAGCTTCTGTCTTTTTCATGGAGAGAATTTTCAGTTATCCATAGAAAAAGGGGGTTGGTTTCATCATCAATGCCATCTGATGCACATCAAAATATATCATGCAAGCACTTGAGGATGTATTAATTGCAATGGGGAAGGAGAGACTGGGTTTATTGTATCTGAAATAGTGTTGCATGGACATGGACACAGGAGTTGGAATCCATTGCATGTCCAAGAGTCTGATTCAGCAAGATGAGAAAAAATGGACTCAGAATATATATAGAAAAGTATACTATTAAAATGGTTCATATTTTTTGACTTCTGACATTATATACCTGCAAAATGGGTCTAAAACTTTGCTTTTCTTAAATCTTACTAAGTAATGTTTGATATGAAAATGACATTCATTTTGTACATTAGCTGTTCATTTATGTCAAGTTAGCTAGGAGATAAAAAGGAAATGTGATGTACAAGTGTCCTACGAATACATTTAGGAAAGTCCATGCAAAACTGATTTGAAGATACTCAGCTCAGCTGCAATCCCAACTATTTGGGTTGGCTACATGAATCCTGTCCAGCCATTCTGCTCTATCAAGGGCAATGTTTTCTGTCACACTGTAAGTCCTTTGTTCATTCTTACCACTTCCGCCCATGTCTTCTTTGGCCTTTCTCTTGTTCTTTTGGCACCTTGTACTTGCACCAAATCATTCTGCATTGTGCAGTCATTAGTATGTAAAGATGACACCTTATGAATATCTTGTCCTATTCTTGCATGGTACCTTTAATTTGGCTTTCAATTGGGAATTCTTTTTTTTTCCTTTTTCTTTTTAATTTTAAGGAATCATTGTTCCAGGAGAAATGTCTTTCTACTAGCCTCACAGTTACCGGATTCCTCTCACGGAAACATTGTCTTCGACTACTAGGCACGATGCCAAGTCGTTACTATGTTCACAGGGATGACAATGATGAAGATGAGAGGAAAAGAAAGAGAGAAGGACAAGAAGGGTATATATATTTCCACAAGAGCAGGGGTCAACACATTCTCACCAACCCACGAGTTCTTGACTCCATTGTTCGAAGGGCTGAGATTAGGCCCACTGATACAGTGCTTGAGATAGGGCCCGGAACTGGAAATCTCACTCTAAAGCTACTTGAGGTTGCTGAGAAAGTTTTTGCCGTTGAGATCGACAAACGGATGGTTGAAGTTCTCAACAATCGTGTTGCTGAATGTGGGCTTGAAGATCGACTCACCGTAAGATAATTGTTTATTATTCTACAAAATGTCTCAAAGAAACATATGAAGTTTTTACAATGATAGAAAGAAGCTAATCAAGGATTGGGATTTTTAGGTTATATGTAAAGATGCGCTGAAGATGGATTTCCCCCCATTTGATCTTATTGTTGCCAACATCCCTTATGGGATATCTTCACCTCTTATAGCGAAACTTGTATTTGGGGCCTACCCATTTCGAAGCGCCACACTTCTCCTTCAAAAAGAGTTTGCTCGACGCCTGTTGGCGAATCCTGGTGATTCTGCTTTCAATCGATTGGCTGTGAATGTAAAGTTGGTTGCCGAGGTGGAATTCGTGATGGATGTAAGCAAGAAGGACTTCATTCCTTGTCCAAAGGTCGATTCATCTGTTGTGAAGATTTGGCCGAAGACTAAGGTCCCTGATGTTGATATGCATGAATGGTGGGCTTTCACACGGACGTGTTTTAACAAGAAGAACAAGACATTGGGAGCTACTTTCAAGCAGAAGAAGAAAGTGGTTGAACTTTTGAGAAGGTCACAGATGATGGATTCCCTCAAAGACCATGTTGCCACTAGATACAATTATGATGACTATGATGACAAAGAAGAGCAAGAGGAGCAGAGCGATGGAGAACACTGTTTTCCATCCCCTTGCTCAGAAAAGGATTTGGTTTCTTTCAAAGAAATGATTGCTGAGGTTCTAAAGGCAGGTGGATTTGAAGCGAAGAGGCCTTCAAAACTATCTATCGAGGAATTGTTGCATCTGCTCTCGCTGCTCAACCAAGCTGGAATTTATTTTAATGATCGAACTAAAGGAAAGGATGTAAGCAATGAAGGATTTGTGGCATCTTATAGTTCTTAAACAACAGTTTGCATTCTTTGTTGGTAAAAGCGGTGTAACTCATACGCCTGATGGATGAATCTCAAATTTCAGTTTCTAGCCATTAGGAATATAGTTTACAAACTACGATGGGACCAAAGAGAGTGTGTGGAAATTGGACTCATCCAAAACATTGGGTTCACTAACTGGTTTAGTCCTTGGGCAAGTTTATGCATTTCCTCTTCAAAGCAATATGAGATGAATCGTGATTCGTGAATGATAGTTTGGTTATTTTACGTAAATAGGTTTCGCTGCCTACTCATAAACTTGTATTAATTGTTATTACGACTTTTGACTGTTTCTACTTTTCTAAGTGATTCTCAAATCCTAAGAGATCTTCTAGGCTAAAAATTGAAGTAACGAATTGGGTGTTGGAAGCACTCTCTAGTCTCCTCCAGATTGAAAAAATATTCTGTATATGTAATAACTACATGAATCAAATGATATATAGATCATGGCTTCAAAAATCAGAATTTCTGGGTTATCAAGAAATTACTTCTTGAATTCTGAACAAGTTGAATGGGTTAGGGAAATTACATAAATCAAAACTGATTAGCAACACACCCAACTCTTCAAGACTTCAACAGGGCCAAGGAAAGAATCGAATTAAAAGACAAGGAAATAGAAAGAATTAATGATGAAATCTCTGTAGAATCTTTCGAGCTTGTTTAATCTTCAACATTTGGGTATTGGAATTAATCGAATATATCAAGATGATCTCAAGACAACCCATGTTCATGGCAAGTCTCATTATCGGCTGAAGCAGTAGCGCCCGAAGTCGATAACCACACCGCGAAAGGCCGGTGGTGCAACAAGGACATGATCTGCAACTTTCTTGGATTTGATTGGACAGATGCCACCACTGATCGAGGATGATTTGGCTCGACCTCGTAGCACGGGGACACGTGGGTACAACCTGACATAAGTGATAGCTTAGCGTGGCAGCCTGGCCATAACTCGGTGTACTAAACTTGCCGGAGCCCAGCAATATAACTTGGCGGACGTAACAGCTCGCCGAGAAGAAACATCTAGCATACTCCGAATTCTCCCTAAGGGAGGAGGACTCCCGAGCTCCTCCTAGTGGGCCCCGAACTCTTCCTTCCTGAGAAGGGAACACCCCGATCTACGGGAAGTATCCCGAAGTGTCCCCACTTCGGGATAACTCCATTAACACTCCTGCCCATACTTGCCTAAGGCTCGCCTCAAGCACTCGCACCTCGGCTACCCCATCACCCCGGTGTAGGGTAGCTCGGACCAAGGCAGCTCGGTGCAAAGTAGCTCGGCAACCTGCAGAAAAGATCTGCCTGACAATAGTACCTGCCGAATTTGAAGGTTGCGCCCACGTCTCTTGTCAGGCGGCGGCGTGCCTGCCACTTCTGCCAGATGTGGCACGCCTAACAGGTTCGTACCCTGCAACGGCTGCCCACATCCGCCACCTTGGCTCTGGCAATAATGGCTGTGGCAGAGGCAGTTACGCCTGATTTGAGAGGTCTTCAATATAAAAAGACCCCGACCCTCGAAGAGAAGAAGTATTGAACTTGCGCCATCTGCACTCTCAACTCTTTGTTTGTATTCTCCAGTTTTTTCAGAATTCTAACTTAAGCATCGGAGTGTTCCCACCGGACGAGCTCCCCGAGAATTCTTCACCTTCCTCTTCGTCTCAGGTACCGTCCGTCACAGCTAGGAGCCAGGTTTTTGCCAGCTAGAAGTGCCCGGATCGCATAGCATCAACCACCATTGTTGGGTCTGTTTGTACATCCTGAACGTTCAAAAGGTGTCGCTGGGCCTTGCTGGAGGGATTGATGCTGAAACACTATGTTTCTATCCAGAAGTCTTGTTGCCACAAGCCTTTGGAAAATTGAAAGCTAGATGATGAGAATTGAGGCAATCATGGTTTTTAAAACCAAACCGGTCAGGGGTCCGGTTACACGTTTGAATGGTCCAACCGTTCGACCCGAATGACTAGCCTATTCTGACAAAAAATAAAAAAATAAAAAAAAAATAATAAAATGAAAAATGGTCAAAACTATTCGAACAGTTAACCGACCAATTCAGCAATTTGCTGACCAAAATCAACGGTTTTGGAGGAAAAGGAAACCGGTCATTCCCAATTTTTCTGGTCCGATCTAGTTTTGAAAACAGTGATGGCAATTATTTATGAGGAGAGTTCTTCTACGGAAGCCTGGGAGCCCATATGTTTTCTGAACAAAATAATGAAATAAGCCAAGCCAAGTCTTGTGTGTGATAAAACAATTGAATGAAAGACGGTAATTATATATACATCCGGGCCTAAAGTTTAGTGAAATGTTTTGGTAATTTAATACCTTCCGTCACCTGATTTAACGGTTGAGGGGGTATTTATCACAACGTAAAGGTTCAGGGGTCTATATTACAAATTATAGAGGCAGCCTTTTTCACTGACCCCAACCCCATAATACAAGGGGGTTCTTGTAATTTACCCTATTTATAAAAATGCCATTGACATATCAATACAAAATAACTACATTGATCAACCAAGGTAAAAAAAAAATAGACATCTTTGAAGTTCCAAGGTGAACATGACATTCCTTCAATCCATCCTCAAATGGATGAGACCGGATTGGATTTCCTGCACTCGGTTTGCTATGTTCCACTTCCATTCACCTCATTACAATTACAAATTAGCTATACACAAAATTGGGGTTCCCTTGTGCGAATTTGAGAAACAATGTATTTTAACCCTGTTATTTCATTTGTTCTTGTTGATATTTCAAAAGCAAAATTATAAAATAAAATGAAGGAGATCTAGATTTATGATCATTGGGGAATGGGGATTTATAAAATAAAGACTCCCAAATCTCAGAGAGGACATTGACGATGATATCATGGTGCTGTCACAAGTTTAGAGATTCGAAACATTACAGTTTGTAGAAACTACTCCAAATCCATTTCTAAGAACATATGTTTCTCTAATATATTTCTAACATCGAATAAAATCCTGGTATGGGGTTCTCCGGCTTTTTTTCACCACCAGAATTAGGGGGAATCGGAAGCCAAAACCATTGATCACGATTGGTTAATTTTAGGGTCTAAGGTTATGAGGATGTCTACTATTGAGTATTGACCACGGTGAACCTGGTTCGTAAACCACTAGAGACTCTAGTAGAGATGGGAAAAGATTGATGTATGGGGCTGATAATCCGAGAATACTTCAACTATATCAAAATCCCACAACACCCATCCTCTGTAGCAATACTGCAAGTGATGTCACAAGTCATCAAGTTCATCCGTGGTGGAATACTTTGTTTGCGCACAACGGCACAAGTTGTTCCTGCCATGGTTTCTTAGCTTCATCTCAACCCGTCCCTAATAGTAATAGGTGTTGGCCACTTGCATTTCTTACATGGTTTGTAGTGGTTGTTCTAGTTCATTAGTCCAGAGCTGATGGTGGAGAGAGGAATGGAGGAGAGGGAAGAAGAAAGAGAGGACGAAAAGAGAAAAAAAGAAGAAGAAGAAAGAAAAAGATAGAGAGAAGTCGATAGAGAAGGAGAAGAACATGAGGTATTGGTGAAGCTTCCCGATGCTCTCTGGTTGTTGAGTTGGGGAAGAAGATGAATAGACTCCTTTTTTTCACCTTATTCTAGTTTCAAAAAATGTTACGGTAACTTTCATTTTCTTCTGCATGTGAGCTGGGGTACCCATGTGAACTTACTACGTGTTTCAATCGAGTCCAGATCTCCTTCCCGCACAAACTCTGCCCACTTCCACCCACATAAAATCGCAGTCACACATGGATAACATCTCATCCTCTTACATGGTATTATGCGTGGAGAGATGTTCCCAATTCATGGGGGTAGTGTGTTGTGGGTAGACGTGGGCAAAGTTCTTGTGGGCAGGTGATTTGGAGTCGTTCCAATTTGGTTTGAAGTGCACACCTGCACATACCAAACTGAGTACAGGAAATCCAAATCTAGGTTCCAAATGGATGGGCAATTCTAAAAACATGACCAATTATCTTGGGAGTCTGAATTTGCTCCTCACAAAATGCTCCTCATGCCAACCTTACATCCCAACTGCATTGGGAACATTGACAACGAACATGTATGAAATATGGGGGAGATGTTCTCAATGCGAGCTGCAATTAGGGGTGCTCACATTAAATGTCAAATCGATCAAATCGACCAAGCTGGCCCAACCCAACCTGAATTGATTGATTTTTCAAAACCACCAATCGATTCTGGTTTGTGTGAGAACTGAACTAAACTGAACCGACCCTATATGCTTTAAGTAATTACTAAGTAGTCCCTATTCAACCCTACTCTTCTACTCCCTATCATAATTAACTTAAATTTAAGTAAAGTTATTTATTAATTTTTTGGGTTCAGCAAGCATTGATGTGAAGGAGTCTTGGAAATTGGAATGGACATACATGTTGGATTTTTTAAGTATTCACTCTTCAATTTTGGAAAGAGAAAAAAGAGAGGTTAAATAAAGTTATTTATTACCTTTATTAGTTTATTTATTACATTTTTTGGTTTAGCAAGCATTTAGAGGTGTCCATGAAAAACTAAAAAACCAAAAAGTCGAACCGAACCGATCAATTTGGAATTTTTGAAAAACTAAAGGACCAGTTCGATTTTCGGTTAACCTACAAAAAACTGGCGATTAACTGAACCGACTGGTATATGTATATTATATATATATTTTTAATATATGTCACATATTTTCTATATATTATATATAAATATATATATATTCATTTATATATATATAAATATACTTATATTATATTTATAATAATCTATTTATAAATATATTATATATCATTTATTATGTATAATATAATATAATACATATATTTATATAAGATATATTATAAATATAAAAAATCGAAAAACTGAAGAACCGAACTGATCAAAAACCAAAACCGGCGGACCGGTTAACCGGTGGTACTAGTTTGGTTTCGGTTTGGAGAAATGGAAAAAATGGTACTATTAGTTCGATTTGCAAAAATTGCTCATGGTTCGTTTAACCAAACTATGGACACCCCTACAAGCATTGCTGTCAAGTACTCTTGGAAATTGGAATTGAGAGACAACTATTGGAGTCTTCACTCTTTAGTTTTGAAAAGAGAAAAAAAGAGAGGTTAAATAAACCAACCCTTTTGTTTCAAGGTCGATTGGTTTCAATTTAGTCAATAAATAAACCTACTATGTTGGGTCAGTTGAAGAAAATGACTCAAATCGACCCAACCCAACCTGTGAACACCCCTAATTGCAATGTGTGTGAAGTGCAAACCTACATTCTTATCTCAAGGTTGATACAAAGGTCATATATATTCTTGTACAAACCCGTTCATGGGATCGGGCTGGACTTTGCCTCTTCACTAATAGAACATGTTTAGGCTTGAACCCGAGACTATCGGGCTTAGATCTTGACTCTCCGAGAGCTTGAAGTATAACTGGGAAATTGATAAAAAATTGTATCTTTATTGTTTACTCAACAACAAAATTGAGTTATTTATATTAAACTACCTCAAAACCCAAAAAATATTGAAAGATCTCATTACGACTTGAAAAAAAAGAAGAGGAACAAAGAAAAAAAATAAAGTAATTTTATTATATAAAATATTATTTGGGCTCAACTTGGATTAGGGCCATGCTTTTTTGAGAAAGCTTGAGCTCGGCCTAAAAAAAGTTAGGTGTAGTGTTTTAGGCCTAAGCCTAAGCCCAAGCCCATGGGCCTAAAATCATGTCCAAGCTTGAGAAAATGGTCTAGGCCGGATTGGCCTGTCGGACTACCTAACCCATGATATTATCGTCCAGTGTTTGGATATGGTCCTCCCTCTTAATACACGATCCCAACAGACATTGCACCCGAAAACAGATCCAAACTCTCCCTCTCTCCCCAACAGACATTCCCCTTTTTAGGGGTGCAACTTGGGTGGGCCCAACCCGAGCCCGAACTGGCCTAGCTGGAAATTTTACTTGGGCTAGGTTAGGTATATGTAAAATTTGCATATATATATATATTTACATATATACATGAATATATGTATACATATTTGGGTTCGACTAGATATGATATTATAAAAGCATCTAACCAATCAACTAGAATCATAAACATGGTAGCCCATTAGGTGTTATTTATCAAAATTCATGGGTGAATTTTGATTGGTCAAAACTCTTTCCATACCATATCTTTTCCACATCATAGATTTTTCCAGGGTTCAACTATGATATCAAAAAGATATGATATATAAAAATCTTCTGACGAGCCAACTGGAATCATAAACGTGGTAGCCAGTTAGGTGTTATTTATCAAAATTCATATGGATTTTAATTGGTCAAAACTCTTCCCATACCATATCTTTTCAGCATCATAGATTTTCCTTTTGTATATATATATATATATACAATTTTAGAGCTGATTTATTAACTAACTCAACCAGGGCCTAGGCCCGAACTCAACTTGAATGCATCAAATTACTATACAGACGAAGTTTAAATTAGAAAAATCGGACTTCACCTCGGGCTCGGTCTTAAGCTCAAATTTTAGGTCGGGCGCGAGTTGACCATAAACCCTGCCCAACCCACCCCTACCTTTTTTTGTCTCTACCCAGTAGGCCAGTACCCACCACCCACACGAGCCGTCTTAAGAGTGACATAGACCCTAAGAAATAGGGTCCTCCTAAATTTTTTCTCCGTAGTTTCTTTTATAGCCTCCTAAATTCCTTCTCCCTGATCCATTTTCATCAATCCAACTTTTGAGTGTTGACAGCTGAGACCCTGAGAGAGGTTGCTTCCAAAGCTGGTAATTGGTAAATTATTACATCAACGTTGTTTTTATATGGAGATTTTGATAAAATGAATATTGGTAATTTTCAGATAATTTAAGGTAAATAATAAAATTCCTCTCTCCTTCCCTTCTGTTATTAGTTTATTACAGTCAGCCGAGGATTTGGATCTGGCCGCTTCGGTTACTCAAATCTCCGGTAACCGACATTGGCAGAAACCCCGGGTTCCAGAACTCGGAAAACGCCATGAGAGTAACTGTGAGGTCTAGCGAAGATGCAGTTAGCGGAACCAAAGATGCCGAGTCACTCTTCCGAGGGAAGCCGATCTCTGAAATCCGAAAAGTGGAGGCGGCAACTAAGAAGGAGATTGAAGAGAAGAAAGAAGAGCTCCGACAACTCATCGGAAACCGGTATCGCGATCTAATCGATTCCGCGGACTCTATTGTTCACATGAAAGCTTCATGCGAGTCGATCTCATCCAACATTTCCATGATTGACCAAGGAATTCGTTCGCTCTCTGCCGCCGCCGCCGCTGATACTCCTAAATTAAGCACTAATCCGGCAAGGGCCAGAGTTTACGGGATTGCCAGCCGTGTCAAATACCTCGTCGATACGCTGGAGAACATATGGGGTTGTCTGGATGAGTCAATGTTTCTAGAGGCCTCCGCTAGGTACCTTTGGGCTAAGGAGGTTCACGACATTATGGTGAGTAGAGGTGCGGATAGGGATTTTTTGTCGAATTTTCCGTTGCTTAAGCACCAGTGGCAGATCGTCGAGAGCTTCAAGGGTCAAATTTCACAGAGGAGCCGGGAGAGATTGATGGATTCTGGACTCGGCGTTGGAGCTTATGCAGATGCTCTGGCTGCTGTTGCTGTCATTGATGAGCTCGACCCGAAGCAAGCTCTGCGTCTGTTCCTTGATTCGAGAAGGTCGTGGATCTCTCAGAGACTAGGTGCCTGTGTGACTGGTAATTGTGATTCTGGTTCTGTAATTCTGCTCTTTTGTGAAATCGTGAGGATAATTCAGGTTAGTCTAGGACAAGTAGGGGAACTGTTTCTGCAAGTTTTGAATGACATGCCTTTATTTTATAAAACTATATTGAGTTCACCACCCGATTCTCAATTGTTTGGGGGAATACCAAATCCCGAGGAGGAGGTGAGATTATGGAAATTGTTTAGGGAGAAACTTGAGTCTGTGATGGTGATGCTTGATCGGGATTTCATTTCTCAAGCTTGTTCAACTTGGTTGAGGAATTGTGGTGAAGAGATTGTTAGTAAGATAAATGGGAAGTATTCGATTGATGTCATTGGGAGTGGGCGAGAGCTTGCATCGGCTGAGAGACTGATCCGAGATACATTGGATAGTCGGGAGGTTCTAGAAGGGAGTTTGGATTGGCTGAGGAGTGTTTTTGGTTCTGAGATCGAGTCACCTTGGAACAGAGTCCGAGAACTTCTTTTGGCAAATAATGAAGATCTTTGGGATGAAATATTTGAGGATGCTTTTGTTCGGAGGATGAAAGATATTGTTGACTCAGGATTCAAGGACTTGAGCACAATTATTAACATAAGGGATTCGATTCGAGCCATTTCACTTTCAGAAGAGCAGATTGGTTTCCTGGCATACTTGAATAGACCTTCTACAGGTGGTGGGGTGTGGTTTTTGGAGTCAAACACTAAAAAGTGTGGCACAGGATCTAGGTTTGAAGCAACAGCAAATGAGAATGATTTCCGCAGCTGTCTCAATGCCTATTTTGGACCTGAAGTTAGTCAAATTAGAGATGCAGTAGATAGTAGATGCCAGACTGTTTTGGAGGATTTGCTGTGCTTCTTAGAATCCCAAAAGGCAGCTATAAGGTTGAAGGAGCTAGCACCATATCTACAAGATAAATGTTATGAAAGCATTTCAACTATACTTAAGGGACTTGAACATGAGGTTGAACACTTGTCTGCATTTCTAGATGAAGGAAGTAAGGGACCAGGCTCTGAGCCACCAGCTATAATTGTTGAGAGATCTCTATTCATTGGAAAACTCTTGTATGCATTACAGAATCACTCTAGTCATATACCACTGATACTTGGTTCTCCAAGGCAATGGGCCAATAAAACAGTAAGTGCTGTTTTTGGCAAGTTACCATCTATTATAAGGCCATCTAGTGTGACCCTTGATTCCCCTATTTATGATAATATCAAAAGGCAAATGCTCAATAGCCCTAGAAAAACTTCATTGGCTACTGCTGCAATCTTTGGGCTAAATGACAATACCCATCCACGATTTGAAGAACTTAGCAGGTTTTCACAAGATCTTTGCATTAGGGCTCACAACTTGTGGATATTGTGGGTGTCCGATGAGTTAGCAGTTATACTGCACAGGGATCTAAAAAGTGATGATGCATTATCTGCAACAACTTCTTTGAGAGTAAGTGATTCTACTTGAATCTCTTTATCCCATTTGTGCTTGTGCTTTATTTATTTGTCCTTTTAGATGTGCTGCCTTCTATGTCCCAGTTGTCCCTCTCTTAAGCTTACTATCTTCTTTTGCATACACCTTGGATAAGGCTAACTAAGGGTGTGTTACAGAATAAAAAAAAAATATTTAGGGGCCTCACCTAAGAGCTAGCTTTTAGGTTGAATGGTTCCTTGACATGGTATCGGAATCTGTTTGACCACGTGGTCTAGTGTTCGATTCTTGTTGCCCCCATTATAATTATTTAAGTTTCAGCACAATGTACAGTGGGCCTGTGCTTGTCCGTGCAAGCCTGATGCCCCATCACGCAAAAGTCCATTGGGTTTGAAGCATGGACACACAGGCCCGCCCATACCCTGTGCTGAAATTTAATTAATTATAATGGGGGCGACAAGGATTGAATACCATTCCACTTGGTCAAACAGATTCTGATACCATTGTCAAGGAACTGCTCAACCTAAATGCTTAAGCTGTTAGGCATCCCTCAATAGGTTTTTATTCTTTGACAGGGTGCAACTTGCGGCTTGGGTCAGGTTAACCCAAGCCCAACCCAAGATGCAAACCTTGGGCTCAGGCATGGCCCAACACAAAGTCAAGCTCGGGTTTACCAAAACCAACCCAGACCCAACCTAAGCTTAACCCAAGACAAGGGCCAGTTCAGGCTCAGGTTGGGTGGGGCTGCACAGGTTGGTTGGGTTTGAAAGAATTAATATATTTTTTGTACAACCATTTTCAGTCATCTCTGCTTTACCACACAACCACTCACAGAACCAGCACACTTGTCTAACCTGTGAAAATAGCTCTCCTCGAACCTTCAAATAAAGGGTCTTCACAAAGTGACCATCAAATCTGACTGCTCCAATAGATTTCTCAGGCTTGGTCTCTGGTGAGAATAGAAATCCAAGATCTGAGAATAGAAATATAAAAAAAGAAAAGAAAAGAACAAGAGAATGGGAGAAGAGAAAGATTAGCAGGTTTCTGGTCCTCTACTACTCTGATACCAAATGATTAATGGTGACTTGAAGTAGGAAATGTAGAAGAGAATGAATTCTGCCACTTGAAGAGAAATCTTCTAACCGTGTTCAATGGAAACCTATGATTCATTAGTCACAGAAGACAGAAGGCCAGAAATAATGAGACTTATGATTCATTACTAATAAAATTGAGTTTACATCTTTACCCCTGTTTAGTAAAATATTAGGACAGGAGTGTCCTTACATTAGGAAGAGAAAATACCAAACTACCTTTCCACTCATATGTGTTGATTATACACACTTTCTAACAGTCCCCATTCAATAATCTACTTTATTTTTTCTTTTTTTGATAATTTTCAAGAATCTACTTTTAACTTTATAAGGGGCCTTTGTTTACAACAGTGATCCTTCAAAAGCAAACATACAAGTCATCATCTTTATTGTATTTGATACTTTGATAAATAAGGGACATATACTTTCAATATTTTTCCACACTAGGCACCCATATGATATAGGTATAGCGGTATAGCCACATCATATTAATAAATGTACTGCTATTTAACCAAAACATTTGATTAACATATTGCTATTTAACCCAAATATTTAATTAATGTATTGCTGTTGGTGGTCACATGCATAGAAGACCACCAACAGCACCCATATGAAGCACCAATCTGTTGCAAGTTGAAGGGGCTAGAAAGGCTTGGCGTAGACTGAAAAGGACATGGGTTGAGGTAGTTAGAAATGATTTAAGTGCCCTTAATTTAACACTGGATATGGCATCAAACAGAACGGAATGGTGAAACAGGATTCATGTAGCCGCTCCCATATAGTTGGGACAAGGCTTGGATGATGATGAGTTATTAGAAATGACTAAGATAGGGAAGTGAAAACTAGTGGTTTTTCTTTTTTCTGGAATTGTCAAAGAGAAAGCCACCAAATCATTGCCTTCTTCTGGCTTATAAGAGAAGATGGTTGTTTGTATGAAGGAGAGCATTTTTTATATCGTAGCTATTAGATTTATTATTACTGAAAGCCCTGTTTTCAGTGTACCTAAGAAGGAATTACTAAATAATTCTACCTGTTCTTCTAGTTTTTATTGTTATGGATTTATACATTGTTTTCTCAGAATCATATTCAGTTTTTTTTTTTTATATTTATGTATATGCAGCTTACTTATCAAAGAAAACTGGTTGCATTTCCTGTATTTTGTGCAGGGCTGGGAAGAAACTATAGTCAAGCAAGAGCAGTCTAATGAAGGGCATCCAGAGATGAAAATAGCACTTCCTTCCATGCCTTCTCTCTATATTACCTCTTTTCTGTTCCAATCGTGTAAAGAAATTCATTGTGTTGGGGGTCATGTCCTTGACAAATTAATACTTAGGAAATTTGCATTGAAGCTCTTGGAAAAGGTTAGCATAATCAGATTTCATCTTGGTCTTCTGTAATTTATGACAATATATCAATTTGTCTGTGAGTTTCACTTTTGTTAGATTCAGACCTTGATTGGTGTTGGTTTAGTATGTTGATTCTTTTGAAGAATTCAAGTTTTCCCAATAGGTTGATCGATGGGTTTACTCTTTTGATTAATTCAAGTTTTCCCAAAACATTGATTGATGAGGTTTAATAGTTGAACTGGTATGATATATTAAAATCATAATTCTGTGAGCTGCTTTGATTAAGGAAGGGGATGGAAACACAAAGTTTTTCCATGCTTTAGCTAATGGTAAGAAAAGGAAGAGCTCAATATCATCTTTATTGGTGGAGTTGAAATAACAGGTCAAGGTGAAATTGCCAAGGCCTTTGCAGATCATTTCAGATCAATATATTCTAGGCCAATCTGAAAGGTGGTCTTTGGATGGGCTTGAGTGGGATTCTTTGAAAGAAAATCAAGTAGAGGTTGTTGACAGACGTTGTTGTACACAGGTTTAGTACCACAGGAGTATTTCTGTAATTTTTCCATTCTTTATGTTGTATGACCAGTATAGTATAAATAACAACTGCTTCTCTCACCTGAAGCATTCTTTTGAGGCATTCAGTCCTCTTGCCTCTCCTCTCCTCTCTTCTCTTCTTCTTTTTCTCTCTTCCTCCTCTTTTCTCTTGTTCAACATGGTATCAGAGCGGGTTCATCCAGGCCTGAAAACAAATTAGTTGAGGTCATTCTCCAATGCCGAGTTGGTTGCCGACCTGACTGTTCAGCTTCCTAGCGCAAAAAAGAGTTCTGTTACAGAGTCTTTTCATCTTCCAACCCAGATGCTGTTTTCCTTGATTGCTCAGCTGTAGAGAGGCTGTCACCTGATGTATGAAGAGGATGTTCTGGTTTGCAGAGAGGCTGGCATTTAAGAAAGTACTGTCCATCTACTGTTCAGGTGCTGTGGTATTCAACTGAGGTTGTTTTTTGTTGTTTTTCTTCTTGCACCCTTCGATGGACTGATGGTGCCCTAAAAATCTGAATGTGGTGTTCTCCTCTTGTGTGTTACTACTATTCGGCTACATTATTGATGGACTGAAGTTTTTTTTTTTTTTTTTTTTCTCCCATTGACTGTTCTTGCTTTTTGGCTACATTGTTGATCTCAGTGACTATTCGGCTACCCTGAAGTTGGTGTCAGCCGATTAGGTGTGTGGTGAACTATCACCTTGTATCTTTCTTTCTACTAAGGAGTTGTATGAAAACTGTAAAACCGTAGGTCATCCAGACCTGGTTATGTACTGCATCTACAATGTTTGTATGTTTGTTCTTTGGATTCCTACTTGTAGGTCATACAGACTAGTCCAAGTGCTGCAGCAACAGTGTTTGTTCTTGGCTCTCTGTGAAACCGTGGGTCAGAAGTACCTAGTTGTATGCTGAAGTAGCAAGTGTTTCTTCTTTTGTGGACTGAAGGACATAAGATCCCTTTTCTGTAGCAGCTCTGTGAGGCAGTGTGCCTTGGGTTTTGTGCGTTCTTAAACCTGAAATCATGAATAGTGAAGATTCAGCCACACCTGGAATCTCCACAATGCTGAATGGAATGAGTGGGGGTGGCGACCTATCCTTCCCTATGGCTGTTGTTCCTCTTGATGGATTAAATTACCTAGAATGGTCAAGAGGGATCAAGTTATACATCACTGCAAGGGGGAAAATAGGCTATATTAATGGAAGAATCAAAGAACCACCCTCTGGGAATGCTGAATATGATAGATGGGATCAGGAGAGCAGTATGGTAATGTCTTGGCTCTTGGTCTCCATGCAACCACAAATAAGAAAGAACTTCATGTGGGCTGAAACTGCAAATGAGATTTGGGAACAAGCAAAATCCACATATTCAGAACTACAACACTATGCCAAGATCTATCAACTGTAGGCATCATCATCTACTTGTCGACAGGGGGAGAAAAGTTTATCAGTATATTACTCTGACTTGACCTCTGTCTAGAAGGAATTGGACCATTACCAGAATGTTGATTGGAAGTGTGATGAGGATGCTAAACTGTACAAGAAACTTGTCTCACAACAAAGAGTGTTTGCCTTCTTGCATGGTCTAAATCCTATGTTTGAGTCCATCAGAGTACAAATTCTCAGTTCTAAGGATCTTCCATCAATTCAGGAAGTCTATGCTCTTGTTCAATCTGAAGAGAGTAGAAGGAACTTGATGAACAACACTGGTGGGGATGCAATCGTGTTGGCAGCAAAAGGGGCTGTCTCTACTAGGAAGTGCACTAGCCGTTCAAGTAATAAAGTAGTGAATAGAGTATCGTTCCCACGAGGATTTAGGAAACAACTACCAATACTAAATTGGTCAATTCTTATCTGATTAACAACACAATATAACTTTATTCAAAAACTAAAATCCTAAGATAAAAATCTACTTAAAACATTGGCTCAAATGCCTTCAATTCAAGTTAGAAGAGTAAGCAATAAAACCCAATTTCAAGATTCAGCAATCAATCAACTTCAGTAATTCGAATAGGCTATGATTAAGCCTTGGTTTAGTATAACCCCAAGGTCATTAACAGCCTCTCTCAAGCACATGTTCATCCTATGCATGAGTGACGGTTCTTCTATCTCTAGCAAGAATCTAATCATTCATGCATGCATTTTTTCAAACACATCTAAGGCATCAATTCAAATTTGAATTGATTACCAACCGAGTTGTGCAAGTTATCTCTAACCTTGCATGCAATTCAGTTCTTGAATAGTAGATCTGAATTCCTAGAGTCTTTCTCAAGCACTCTAAGAATTCCAAGCATTAGATCAAATTGGCCAACCTGAAAATTGAAGATCTGAATTCTCTTTCAAGCAATTCAGATCTAACAAATCTCAGATCTGAGTTTTGAAAGATAAATTGGCTAATCTAATCTAGAATCACCCTCTATTCAAGAAACATCAAGAACAAATCAGATCCATTCGAATGAGAAAGAAATTGATTACTTAATCTGAAATTTTACAGCCTTAAATTCAACAAGAAAGAATGGAAGGAGAGAGAAAAATTTACATCAAAAGAAGCTGAATTTGAACCAAAGAAAGATGAAACTAAAATGAATTATTACATAAGATCTCTGAATCAAAATTCCCCAAATTCAAATTCACCTTCTTCTCTTCTTGTTAGCTTGAACTCCTTCAGCCCTTCTCCTTCTCCTTCTTGCGCCTAGCTCTTCTTCTCTCTTCTTCTCTTCAAGGTGTTCGAACCCCAAGGGATGGGAGAGCCTTGAACTCAAGCAAATGAACACCTCTCCCCCCTCTAGAGGCCTCCTTATATAGATTTTCAAGGGAGTTCTTGCCCCTTCTTGAAGCCTCTAGAATGGGGTGTATTACACCCCCTTTGAACCTTCTAGAGTGCTCTCTCAAGAACCTTCTAAGGGTTGCCGCCCCTAGCTCCTTTGGGCTGCAATTAAACTCCTTCTTAGCACATGTTAGCTATACTCTAGACTGTTCTTTGGGTTGAGAATGGGCCTCCTCTTGCTGGGCCTAAATTTTCTCCTTGCTAGGCTTCTTCCCTTGGGTTTTTCCAAGGAATTAACTTGCACTACTTGGGCTGAATTATGCTCTCTTGCTTCCATGGCTGAGCTGGGCTGAATTTGGTAATTTTTGGCCTTCTTTTCTTACCTTCTGCCTTCTTTTTCTTGAATTGATTACCCCTGAAATCTTTATTGTCATTAAGCTAAATTAGGGCAAAATTGAATAAAACCGGCATAAGAATCCATGCAAAGACCTCATAAATTATAGATGAATTGTATGTTCATCACCTTTAGACCAAACGGATTCTCTATGGCTTTCTACCAAGACTATTAGGAACTCATCAAAGGAGATTTATTGGAAGTCTTGAAGAATTCTACCAAAGAAGGGAAATTTCTCCTAGAACAAATGTAACTTTTATGGCTTTGGTGCCAAAGAAGATAGAGGCTAAGACCCCAAAAGATTTTAAACCCATAAGTTTAGTGGGAGGACCCCTACAAAATTATGCAAAGGTCCTTTTTGGAAGAATGAAAAAAGTTCTTCTCCTTCCCTTGGTGATTTTACAATTCCAAGGAGCTTTTATTAAGGGAAGGGTAGATTATGGACCAAATCCTGGTGGCTAATGAATGCGTGGCATAAAAGAAAAAAGAAATGTTTGTAAGTAAACCCTAGTAGATTCTAGGTTGAAGTAGAGAAGAAGAAAGAAAAGAGAAAGAAGAAGAAGAAGAAGAGAAAGAGAGTTCGGCCAGACTAGAGAGTCTCAAAATCACCTCTCCCCTAGCCGACCCACTTGTATTTATTCAAAATCATAGAGTTACAAGAAAGACCATTTTGTCCCTC